GTTAAAAATGGCTAGATATCTGGTGATATATACAGTCTCGCAACGAGCATCGTTTTAACTCTTTCAGTTATGCCAGCTTTCGTTTATTCAGTACGCGTTTCTATATGGTGACATATTGACCAGCAGCTGTCAGCTGTATAACTGCTCGGTACCCCACTTCCTTCCAATACGATAATCTGCTATGAACTTCGGTTGATTTAACTTAATAGGCTGCCTTAACTGTTCATTCTCCTAACAGTTTAAAGAGGCTTGATCGCGGTTGTAGGCAGTGGATCTACCGGTATGGATATAAAAACATTCAACCTCGTCAGAACCATTTCAGTTTCGATGATATTTGGGACGTAATTTTCAAGAGAGAACCTGTTCTGCTGTTGAGAGGCAAAACGTGAGCAAACGGCAGTATTTTTGCTGAAGAGCTTTTCAGACGAAACTAGCTTTACTGAAGATGTTGCTCTGCATAAAGGTGCCTAAAATAACTCCTCTCTGAAGGTCTTGATGGTAAGAAAGCTGAATGTGAAAACCACCGTGAAACATGCATTCAGAGCAGGTCATAAAACCTATGCGAAGGCGAAGGGAGCCATCGGAAGGTGAAAGTGATGCACATAACTCGGATGAAATGTGTCAAATGTTAAGACCTGACGGACATTTGAACAACTATTAACAGTTTGCAATCATGCATCGTTCGTTGCACCAAAAATCTGACTATCAACATACCCTTTATTTTACTCTGCCATGAAAACGCTCAAACGTTAACTCGAAACGTTGGCATCAGTATTAATGATATTTGTATGCGGGGAAGTAACAGTAAAGAACTTTATTTGTATGATAACCAACCTCGCATAAACGATTTTTGCTCTATCATCAAGTTCTCAGCTGTTAGTAAAGTGCCCATGTGCCCTAGTGTACCTCAATAAATGAACTTGATAAAATTTACTGACCAATTTCAACAGCTTCCAACACCGCAAATTTGAAAGAATCTAAAAATCTTCATATTTTGTCAACAAATGCAGAATGATGAACAAAATTAATCATGCAGTGGACAAGTTTTGATTTTAAAATCACTCGGCTACCATTTTCCATGCCTTTCTAAAAAGTAAAAGCATTAAAAGTCACGAATGTAAATAAATGAATTAAGTAAAACCTAGTAGAAAGCAAAGGTAATTTCTGTTTTTTACTGAAGCTACAACGCCGGAATTTTTACACGTCTCAGGGTCCCAAGCCCAAATGAGAAAAGAACAGGGTCAGAGAACGCGGAGAGATCTCAATAAATCTTAACCACCTGTTCCTCATGCTATTGCCGTCATCGAACATTGTACTGACTCAGACGTCGCCAGCGTAGTCAAAGGGCATGCAGGCTGTTGAGAGACTCTGAAAACTCGGCATTCAGAACCTCCTCATCTCCTTCTGGCAGACGAAAGCGTAGGAGCACGACAACGCCTGCCGAAGATCGACAAAACGGCAACGAAAATACCAGTCAGCAACGGACCCTGAATGAAGGAGACAGATAACACAATTCCATTATAGCGCGTAAGATAAGGCTCTACGGGAACGTTACCAAGAGTAGGAGCTTACAGTCAGAAATTTGAACATATCTTCTCTCAGAGGGAAAGAGCAGGAGCTAGATGATGAGCGTTTAAGGTAACTCAACTCGATATAGTTGGACTGTAGTCAATAAAGCACCAAGGCTATGAAATTTTGAACTTTTTCGGGTGGAAGCTATTCTATAATGTGTAGATATCCTAACGCCTGCTCAGTGCGGTGTTGGTGTTCTGGTAGAACCAGATTTAACTGACAAAATCACTGAATTAAAACCTGACAGCAGAAGAGTGGCAATCCTCCGGCTGAAGCAACAACTGACTTGAGCCCTGACATTATCACAGCTCTATACGACCAATTTGGAAACAAAAGGTGCTCTGTATAAAGTACCGACTTCGAAATCCATCATTTTAACGGGCGATTTCAATTCTCGTCAGAGCAGACACTGAAAAATGGAATAACATGATCGGAAAGAACTGTCCTAGCGATCTCAACAATAACGGCATGAAGTTGCTGTGGTTTTGTGCAAACAACGCACTTCAATTATAAACACCTTCTTCGATCATCGAGCGTGCATCAGAATGCCTGGCACTGGGAAGTCTGTGGATAGAAGTGGATGAATGCATTGCCTAACCTACGACGCTCTGTAATGAATGTTCGCGTTAAGAGAGGCGCAGAACTCTCAGCCGATCACCATCTTGTTGTCGGCACGCTGCGCTGTAAGAAATGGAGTACCATACGAAGACTTGGTGACAGAAGTAAACAGAGGATCAAATGAGAGACATCAACTTTTGTGGACATGACAGCGAAATTTGCACTCAATATTACACGACGGTTTGAACATATCTTGGTGATGGCCGTTTAAGTGCAAATCATACGGATGCTCTCTAAGAGCGGTTTAATTCAGTGCTACCACCGAATGCCGTGGTCTAAAACGGGTTAATCCTGCCGCCTGCAACCCAGAAACGAACTTCCTCGTGGACCCGAGAGCTATAACTGGCCGTCACTCACAGAAAGGATGCATTCAAGGAATGGCTTTGAAGCAGAGAACCTTCAACTCGCACGTGGTATGCAGAAGCGCACAAAGCGGCAGCAGAAGCAGAGTGGTCAAGGGCAAAATTGGAACGAGGCGGTTTCAAAAGAGGGAGCTCTACGGGCATTTGACGAGGCTGTGTGAGAAGGACCCGAGCCGTGCCCTCGAAGAGATTCTAAGTCTCCCTAGGATAGATGGGCAACCCGACAAGGGGCAAACTTTTGAATTTTATAAGAACATCTTCGAAGTCGCCCCCAGTCATGACGAGAAGATTGCCCAACCGAAGGATTCCACCATGGACGGATTGCTTCAACCGATATCGGTGGCCGAAATTGTTGGCGCGTTAGGCCGGTACTCTGCATAATCGAGGGCTGATCCTGATGGGCTGACATTTTGCACTCTGAAAGTAATATCACCGAAAGTGATCCGATATCTGTTGAAGGCATGGTTAGGATTAGGGCAGGTTCCACCTGAGATGAATGTTAAAAAGACCATCCTGGTGCCCAAGGGGACTATTAGTCCAGATCCGGGAAAATGGAGGCCAACCACTGCTTTAGTCTTGCTGCGTCATTTCAATAAGATCCTGTCCAGCAGGCTCGTCAAGAGAGTTACGTGGAACTTTGCCCAAAGGGGTTTCTTCCCGAGGATTGGCACTGCCAAAAGTTTAATTGTCCTCCCCACTGTCTTACGACATGCCCGGGAGCATAAGTAATAGGTTTACTTGGCTTCTCTTGACATTAGGAAGACTTTTGATACGGTTCAGCATGTATCGATCCTTCGAGCGCTGTGTAGGGTGGGTGCCCCCCTCACTTCATCGCCTTGTTACAAGATCAGTATTTGGGATACAGTACCACACTGCATCTTGAGGATGAAGTTCTGGGTAACATCTGTCTTAGGCCGGGGGGGGGAGCAAGGAGACCCACTCAGTCCTCTACTGTTCAACCTGATAGTAAA